TTTTTTTTTTTTTTTTTTTTTTTTTTTTTTTTTTTTTTTTTTTTTTTTTTTTTTTTTTTTTTTTTTTTTTTTTTTCTTTTTTTTTTTTTTTTTTTCTATTTCCTTTTCTTTTTCTTTACTCCGCAGCGTGTTCCCACCCTCCTTTGGACCTCGACACAATAGTAGTGGAATCGCAGAACACACATACTCCCATTTCGTATCCTACCGAAGGAAAGAAAGGGTCCCCAGAATCATCGATGCGCAAACATTCCACTGCCCCCTTTGACTGTCGGCAGGGAGATGTTTCATGTTATTCCATCACGGGTACGAGGCGTGTATGAAAGACAACCCATTGCGGCATTATTCAGTCGGTGATGCGCCTTTGATCAATGTAGATCAGACCATCCACGGCTGCATTTTCGGGATTAAGAGAACAAACGCCGATCTCCATGGACGAAGCCCTGGGAGACTCAATGGTTTTGTACTCCGTAGCAATAAAGCATAAAAGGATGTTATCGATAAGATGCCCAGTGATAAGATAAGGAGGGTTGCGGCCGTTGCGAAGCGCGGGTTTCGGAGGTGGCCGACGAGGCCCATCAGACCATTCCGTCGCTCTTTTCCTACTTCCGGGATTTAAACGGGATCCAAAGGATTTAAAAGCTGGTGACAATTGTCCTGTGACTTCTTCTTTGTCTTGTTCCAAAACCTCACTGCTGATTTCTATTCCATCCGGTGTCCCCGATCCTCAATACCACTTGTATTTCTCCAAACCTTCTGCTATAACCTCCAATTCTATACATCAAGATGTCCGCAGTAACAGCAGCCCGCTACGGTAAGGACAATGTCCGCGTCTACAAGGTCCACAAGGACGAGAAGACCGGTGTCCAGACGGTGTACGAGATGACCGTCTGTGTGCTTCTGGAGGGAGAGATTGAGACCTCGTAGGTCACCTCCGGTCTATACCCGATCCCTTGAAAGTTTGGCTGACAACCGAGGATTACAGTTACACCAAGGCCGACAACAGTGTCATTGTCGCAACCGACTCCATCAAGAACACCATTTACATTACCGCCAAACAGAACCCCGTTAACCCCCCCGAGCTGTTCGGCTCCATCCTCGGCACACACTTCATTGAGAAGTACAAACACATCCATGCCGCTCACGTCAACATCGTCTGCCACCGCTGGTCTCGGATGGACATTGACGGCAAGCCCCACCCACACTCATTCATCCGCGACAGCGAGGAGAAGCGGAATGTGCAGGTGGACGTGGTCGAGGGCAAGGGCATCGAGATCAAGTCGTCTCTGTCCGGCCTGACCGTGCTGAAGAGCACCAACTCCCAGTTCTGGGGCTTCCTGCGTGACGAGTACACCACCCTCAAGGAGACCTGGGATCGTATTCTGAGCACCGATGTGGATGCCTCGTGGCAGTGGAAGAACTTCAGTGGACTCAATGAGGTCCGCTCGCAAGTGTCCAAGTTCGATGCCACCTGGGCCACTGCTCGCGAGATCACCCTCAAGACCTTTGCCGAGGATAACAGTGCCAGCGTGCAGAACACCATGTACAAGATGGCAGAGCAGATTCTGGCGCGCCAGCAGCTGGTCGAGACCGTCGAATACTCGTTGCCTAACAAGCACTATTTCGAGATTGGTAGGTTTTTGCGCATTTCCGGTATACTTTGTTTGGAAGCTGTCGCTAACGAAATAAACTTTAGACCTGAGCTGGCACAAGGGCCTCCAGAACACCGGCAAGAACGCTGAAGTCTTCGCTCCTCAGTCGGACCCCAACGGTCTGATCAAGTGTACCGTTGGGCGGTCCTCTCTGAAGTCTAAATTGTAAACCACATGATTCTCACGTTCCGGAGTTTCCAAGGCAAACTGTATATAGTCTGGGATAGGGTATAGCATTCATTCACTTGTTTTTTACTTCCACTTTGGCTCGTATAGTACAAATGCACCGTATATGTGTAGATGCAAGTAACAATCTTCCGGGAGCTGGAACGAAAAGCCCAAACATTATATCAGAACAGATCAAAAGAACTCCCACCCATGCGCTAGCAGATAAACAAGAAGAGACATAAAATTACAGACGAAGAAATACAATAGACCATCGAGAAATGACCCAAGGGAAAAAGAAAAAAATAACTATGCCTGGGTCTTGGCCTCCTTAAACGCTTCCTTCACCTCCGGCAAGTTGGCAATCACCGACTGATTCCCGAGCTTGACAATGTTCTCCTCATACGGATGAGCCAGGCCCTCGAAAGCTATATCGTATTTGTCGTTAGCAATCCATCTTCCAATCGTTGAAACACCCAATCACTCCCATCGCCGATGACCAAAAACCATTCCCCGTAAGGCAGTTAATCATGTAAAAGTAAAACGTAGACATACTCTTCAGTCTAGCCAACCGCTTTTCCCGCAGCCGGTTCTTGGGCAGCATGCCTTTGACAGCTCGTCGTAGGACCTCACCGCCACCCCATTTCTCGAACATCTTGTCCATCGTCATGGTCCGCAGACTACCGGGGCGAGTCGTGTGCGTATAGTACTTCTTCTGGAAGCGCTTCTTGCCGGTGGTCTTCAAGTCGTGGCAGCCCACAGCGACGACATAGTCACCGCAGTCAGTGGAAGGGTCATAGATAGGCTTGTGCTTGCCCATCAGGAAGAGGGCGATGGAGGAAGCAAGCCGGCCGAGACTGCGCGGGTCGGTGCCGACGTCGACATGATGCCAGGCCCGAGAGTAGGCGAGACGGGTCTATAACAATCCATTGTATTAGCATTGAGTAAGTTCCGGTCCGATGGGAGGGTTCAATCCATGTGCTGCAATGTAGATATGTCATCGCAGATAGGTTCCGGTAGAGACAAACATAGACATTGATAATGGGATGTCAAGAGATCACTGATAGGAATTAATTACCTTTCCAACAGTCTGCGACATGGTGACAGTTCTTTCTATCAATCGAGACAAATCCAAGAACTATAAAAAGAAACCCAATTAACCCGTCCCCGCGGATATCAAACCAACAATCGCGCAAAGCAAGTCTCTATCCCGACCTCCGATGGAGACCCAAACTTCAGCCGCCCCGGCGGAGCATCACGTGACACGTGACCAGCGGCAAGCCCTAGCGGAGTCGCACTAAGCGAAGTCACCCGCACGGATTCTGAACCCCATCACCGCAGATTCGAATAACAGGAAGACGACGACAACTTCACCACACTCCCCTTCCCGACACCGATCAGGGCCATTCGATCACCATGGCTTCCGTCCCGAGTGTGCAATGCTTCGGCAAGAAGAAGACGGGTAAGAATTTGTGCCTGATGGGATTTTTTTTTTCTGTATTGAAAGGGGGTGTTTGCGGGAAGAAATAAAATTGCTGACTTGAATTTTTATAGCTACCGCTGTCGCCCACTGCAAGGTATGCAACCAATTTTCTCTCTCTTTCTGTCTATCCCGTCGCACTGTGTATGGTCGTCCGGGGAGAAATTATCGCTCGAGTGGATTGGAAGAACGGAGAAAAGAAAAGACATTACATCACGATATATTCAAAGAGGAGGGGAAGAGTGTTCATCGGGAAGAGAGAAAGAGGATGGTGATTGAATGATGTTTTGAACCGGCGACAGATGCGCTCTGCTATTTCGATTTTTGCAAGAAACGGTTTATGGAAAAGGAACAAATGCTGAGAATCATTACAGCAAGGCAAGGGTCTCATCAAGGTTAACGGCCAGCCCCTCTCTCTGGTCCAGCCTGAGATCCTCCGCTTCAAGGTACGCCAAATCAAGGAAAATGAACAACCCAAACGGAACAACCCCCTCCTGATACATGAAATCTAGGTCTACGAGCCTCTCCTCATCGTCGGTGCCGACAAGTTTGCCGGTGTTGACATCCGTGTCCGCGTCTCCGGTGGTGGTCACACTTCCCAGGTCTACGCCATCCGTCAGGCTATCGCCAAGTCCCTCGTCGCCTACTACCAGAAGTACGTCGATGAGCACTCCAAGAACCAGCTGAAGCAGGCTCTTGTCCAGTACGACCGCACACTGCTCGTTGCCGACAACCGTCGCACGGAGCCCAAGAAGTTCGGTGGTCGCGGTGCCCGCGCCAGGTACCAGAAATCTTACCGTTAAACGGCCTTCAAATCAAAAAAGACCCATTTTACGGACGACCGACGGGAATACAAAAAAGGACGCGGAATGGTATCTATCAGGTGTACTGGGGAGGAGATTTGGAGCGTGCTTCCAGGGCAATCGGTTATGGTTCGGATCTGGTTGTCGCTGGGGTGGAATTGTTATGGTGCGATACTACTGGCTCTGTCGATGCTGGATTTAGTATAGGCCAGGTATCTCAAATATCACCCAATATTTTTTTTCCTGTTCAGAGAAGAGAGCCATCCGGATGTTATCTTATATTATGTCTTTGGGTCTCTTTTTTGTGGTTGTTTAACGGTTCTGGACAGCTGGAATACATTTGATGTCACGTGACCAAGATGTCCACCAGAAAATGCAAGATTACGACTTTAACTGAGATGATCAGATGTTGTCTTGGTTAGTAGGTAGTAGCAGTAGGTGGCTCCCGTCAGCTTACTACCTCTGCTACTACTAGCGTGCTGGGTAAACTGGTGTAGAACAAATGCCCAGACCCCATCTGCTAGAAACGGTTAAATTAGGCAAGCCAGAGGAATCAGTGCCGGGACGTCGGAAGACACTCCGTCTTATTTATAACCAGTAGTTTAGAATAAATAGACCTGACTACTTCCACTTCTCCACAACCAACAACAACTGCTAACATGATTAACTAATCTCATCCTTAATAACAAGTATTCATTCCTCCACACGTACCTAGTATATTAAATTTACACTGAGATCAAGCACAAGATTCTCGGGCTCAATGGAAGAAGACAAACCATGTCCCGCGAATGCGACATCTCCGCTCTCCCCGCGGAATGACACAAACCACTTGACAGCAAGGTCATCGGTCTCGCCCTCATCGGATATATCTGGCTCGGGTTTGACGGCTACAGTTCATGCTCTCATCCGCCTCGTTCAATGCTCTTGTTGCTCGCGACCTCTCCACGCGCCGCTGCGGCTTCCATGTGGGAACACATTATGTCGGTCTTGCTTGCCGCCAATTCATGCGCGGACGGGGATTACATATCCGGCGAGCGACGAACGCAAAAAGGGGTTCACATGCCATTGGGGTACAAATGATGGTTGTGCTGGGGAACACTGCTTAGGTGACTGTGGGACCGACGTGTTGTTGGGTAGGTTGGTGGATGTTTTTGATGCGGTACTTTGCAATGCCAATGCTAGCTCGGAATCGTCTTCCCAGAATGGACGTGGCTTCAGAGTGACATGGACAGGGTTGAGAGGTGGTCAGCCCGGAACGGTGGCGAAAAGTGCAGATGCTGCGGGAGGATTACTAGACGGTATGTACGACCTAGTCAAGTGCGGTCGTTTCGATTATGATGCGTCGGATCTCAAAATTGAGATGTACGAGCCTATAAACCAAGAAAACCAGCGTTTCGAAAGACTTAAGGACGCTGTTCGGAATGAGCTGGACTGCCAGGTCTGCTATTCGCTTATACTAGATCCGTTGACAACATCCTGTGGCCATACCTTCTGTCGCGGATGTGTTGCAATGGTACTGGACCACTCTGACCTATGCCCTGCCTGTCGCCGTAAACTGAATATGGCGTCGACAGTGAAGTCTGAGCCTTCTAACAAGAGAATCTCTGACCTCATGGAGACCTTGTTCCCTGAACAGGTCGCTTTACGAAGAGACACAAGTACCCAGGAAGTGACTGCACTCGATAACGAAGCAACACTTCCCTTGTTTGTCAGCTCACTTTCTCTCCCAACAATGCCAACTTTTCTGCATGTGTTCGAGGCACGTTATCGGCTTATGATGCAAAGAGTCATGCAAAGTAGGGAGCGTAGATTCGGCATGGTCATGCTTAACCGTGCCGGTCGTTTCCAGCAAGGACTTGGAAGGTCTCAATTCATGCAGTATGGTACGGCTTTGGTCATCGATCGTTATGAGCTGCTCCCCGATGGGAGAAGCCTAGTGGTTGCTACTGGGCTGTACCGTTTTAAGGTGCTCAGTTCATATGTGCTGGACATGTACTATGTTGGCAGGATACAGCGCGTGGATGATATTTCGGTAATAGAAGAGGAGAATCAGGAGGCCTTGGAGACATCAGTCGCGGATGGTTCGGGTGAGCAGCCACTAGAATCTATGTCAACACAGCAGCTGTTCCAGTTGGGCTTGGACTTTGTAAGGAAGCAACACAGCCAAGCCGCTCCTTGGCTCCATCCTCGTGTGCTTTTAGCGTATGGTGATATTCCAACGGAAGCTTCACATTTTCCCTGGTGGTTTGCTAGCGTGTTACCTGTCTGGGAAGAGGAAAAGTATACGCTTCTATCGACAACCAGTGTCAGAGAAAGATTAAAGATCACTGCACGTTGGGTAAGAAAGCTGGAATCTCGTGAATGGTATGTACCGCTGATCGTTCAACTCGGAAAACCTTCGGCAATGATGTGTTACTCACCATGCACTATCTGACTAGGACGGCTCGATCCCGGCCATCCATTGCCTCTGCATTATGACTAGCCGTCCCTCTCCTCGTCTTTGCTCTAGTCCCGGTCATAATGGGCCCGGTCGCATCATTCGTACCGTTCTCGTCATCAAGGGTTTCGACGTATCTCACCCCGTTTTCCATGTCGTTCTCTGTTACCTTCGGCTCTGCCGGCTTGTCAACTGATAATTCGCAACAGCTGGCAGAAAATCAGGATTCCGAAACTTATATTCCGCAGACCCTTGTAATAGGCATTTTTCTTGCTATGTTCGTAGCACAGGTGGCTGCTAATGGAGTTCAAATCCTGCGGTCGAGGCGACAAGGAATAATAGAAGAGCGACTGAATGTTCAAGCCGAGCAAGAACCCCCAAGGATACCACCGGAGCCACAGACCGAGGGCGCAAGCGAAGACGAGGTTGAGGGACGAACTCCTGAATCAACTAGAGATACTGGGTGACACTCTAGAGATTTGTTGAAACATGCGTGCAATTGCGGTGGCTCTACTCACCATTTTGGGCTAGCGACAGTTCCTTATTGGCAATCAGGAATCAATCTGAAGTAGCTTGGCAAACTTGATGTGTTGTGCTGAGATGGTTGCTGCCTGGCTTGTGTCCTTACTGGCCATGGATGCACTTGAACCCCCTGCCACAAGGCTGCATTGAGAGCTTAACGGCTGTGCACCAGAGCTGTCTTTAACATAAGTGCCTTCCTCAGGCTTTTATACTGTCTTTTAATCCCATCGGAGATAGAGACGGTTTATGATCCAGCAGTTGGATATACCATATATTCCTATCCCAGGCGGAGCCTGCTTTGTACATCCATCCGCAGTGATAGATGCATGTACAGGCATCAACCATGGGGACTGACAGTCGGATAGTATTCGAAGTGGCTCATGTACGATCGGGATATATAGGCCGACTGGAGGATTTAAACACCTGTTCATGTAATTTAGACGTTGGCTGCAGTATGCGCCGACGATCCATATAGCGTACATTCCTTCCACCTCGAGCTGCGAAGGGAAGGCGACAGAATCTCAAGATTAAGACTAAGAAATGCGGAAAGAACTTTTTTTTCCCTTCCTTTTGAAAAAAAAAAAAAAAAAAAAAAACAAAAAAAACAAAAAAAAAAAAAAAAAAAAAAAAAAAAAAAAAAAAAAAAAAAGGCTTGAACCGTTGGTCCAGGTGAGCGGTAAGCAGATCCATTTTCAGCCCTGGATAGCACTGGAACAAGAACCTAGGCGCCTTGCGTCGTTGAGAGCGTATCGCCAATACTTCAGACCGGGACGATCCCGGTGCCGCGCGCATTGGCACAGAGACATTGGGCTCGAATTTCTTTGTCCAACGCCACCCAAGTGGCTATGCGTCCGTCACACAACGTTGTTGACAGGATTCAGGTTGAGGATATACTAATTAGTCTAACCAGTAATTTCCTCTTCCTTGGGTTTCGCCTCGTTGGGCCAACATGAGTGAGTGCCCATCATGACCAACATTTCATAATAGGAGGGGCCATGCATGTTGTCTTCTGGCCGTCTTGCATATCATCTGCGTGCATTCTACTGTGTTGGTCGCTCATAGGATGGAAGTGATCGAGCTCAGCTCCCGAGTGGAGAAGAGCTAAACACTCTCTGAAAGTATCAAGTACTTTATCAGGAAAGGGGGAGGCCTAAGAGGTGAAGTTAAGTTGGTTCGTTGATCGCGCCTGTAAAAGTAACGTGGGGTGACGTTGTGATATGTCTTGAGGAAAGCACGAGACTTTCAGCTCTTTTTGCTGCATGTTTTCTTCTGTCTCTCTTCCTGATTCTTACTTACTCACTTACTCACTCACTGTCCCTGTCACTTTTCTCTCATTTTAAGTTGGACCAGTGCAATCAATCTCTATTATTTAGTCTCTCTGAGGTAAGCTTTCTCACTACTGTTCTCGGCCCACCTTGTACTAAATCAAAATCAGGTTGTAGGCAGAGAATTGGCTACCATGTCTTCTTCATTTATTACTGTTGAGAAACATCACTTTGAATCTCTACTACAGAGGTGAGCATTAGGGGTTCTCTTGTCTCTGAAGGCTTTCTTTTGTATTTTTGCGTATATTAGCACATCCCGTCTGTCTATTGCGGACTTGCCTTCTTCCTCTGTTTCTTTTTTCTCCAGAATGGTCAACTTGTGAATTATATTACCGTGATTTTATGTATTTACTAATGCCATGCTTTGTTAGAGCAGAAGTTGTGAGTCCAATAACCTACACTTTGCATTGTAGCGATGATCTACTCATTCTTGGGACTACAAACCCAAAACAGCATTTGTCCCAGGAAAACAAAAGCTCTACGAATTCAGATTTGGTGACCATCGCGAACTCAGAGTACCAAGATCTAGTGAGTACTGCCAAGAAGGCTACCACATCCCCTGATAGGAAATGCAGAGATTTCGCGAGCTGACGTTGAATCAGCTTGCAGCATCAACTCAGTTCGGTACGTTCCCTACCCATGTCTGCATAGCACTATGCCTATGCTGCACTACGCTCATTTCTGACTGAATGACCACAGCAAAGCTAAAGAAGTCGCTTTTGTATGGCGGATTGTCTCAGGAAACTCTCGATGTCAGGTTCCACTTCTCCTCAGCGTCATCATTTTGCTGACCTCGCTACCTAGATATTAATATATGGTTCACCACCTCTATCCGATGATCAGAATAGCAGCAAGGTGTGCACTGAAAGCCCGTTTGTATGCAAGAAAACTCCATCACCTAAAAGAGCAAATCTATCCAACGACCACAAGCGTTGGGAAAGCTACGACGATGACGATGAAGAGGGTGTCCTGCTAGCTTCCCAAGATAGTGATAGGGACGATTATGAAGGCTCCTCTGGAATCTCAGGGTCGTCGATAGCTTCAACCCCTCAGCGAACCATCCTGCTCCGTGGCCTCCCCGATCGTGTTGCTCACAGAGATCTTGTTGAAGCCATAAAGGGTGGCGCTCTTCTCCATGTTCACCTTCGAACGCGGGAGCGCATGGCTAGCATTTCGTTCGTCGAGGAGGCAAACGCACAGGAATTCTTTCAACATGCAAAATGTCACGGGGTTTGCATTGCTGGAAAGCGTGTACGTTGCCCAACGCCAAGGTAGTTTACGACTAATATGTTTAACATTGATGACAGGTGGAGATATCTTGGAATGACCGCCAGTTTTACCTCCCCCCTTTCGTCAGGGCTAAGATCAACAACGGAGCTTCACGCAATCTTGTCCTATACAATGTGCACCCCAACGTCACGGAATGGCTTATTCGGAAGGACCTCGACCACATCTATAACCTCATCGTCATCACAGTCAAATTTAAGAACGGAAACGCTTACATTTCCACCAATTCCGTACATAACGCACTGTTTGCACGCTCTTGCATGATGTCTCGACTCACATACAAAAGGATGAGGATTGCATTTTATCCGGATGAGTGCGCTGAGCCTCTGCCCAAGCTTACCAATGGGTTGAAGAAAGAGCCACAGGTGCCATCCAAGAAATCTGTTTCAGCCCTCAATCGGTTCCAGCTCCTTTCACTTGACGGGGCCGAGGAAGATGAAACTGATCATGATCACGGCCAAGCCGGATTGGACGACTACCGCAAAACCACTGCACTGAAGGTGCAACATTAATGGAACCACCCGTGGGGGCGATGCTTAATGGAGATCTAACTACGTCAGTTGGTCCAATACGTTAGGAAGTATTACTAAATAGTTGGTATAGGTCAGATTCTTTGGGGTAGCAAGGTGCAAGAAATCCAGCTCCAGTATTCTGAATAAAATTCCCAATCACAAGATGTAGTGCCGTACACAATACAAGCCTAAATTCCCTAGGAGGAGCCTTCCAAATGCATTTGGTAGTGAGTGAGCATAGTGAAGAGCCTTACTCAGAAGGGAAACGAAACAAAAATAGGGAAAAGGTAAGTAGTTTTCCACATACGTAGATACTCATGTTGTATATACAATACAATGAGACCAAGACAGGCTTCCATTTTTAGAATCCATAAAGGGTCACACCCAAGGGTCCTGTTCATGAATTTGTCTCCTTGGTTGATGTGCTCCTTCTCTTTCTTCTTTCTTCCTCACTGAACAACCTAAGAAAGGCTACTGAAAGCAAGGCAAGTAAGAAGAGGGCAAGTCATGAAAATAAAAAGAAAGAAAGATATCACATGCTAACATCCTTTCGTTGCTCGTGAGCCCAAAACCCATCCAACGCCGTACCAAAACAGAGCACTAAAGATAGCTATAATAAGCTGTTGAAGATCCAGATTCAGGGTATGTATGCATGTATGTATATGGATTTGTTGTTTCTATGATACTGTGGGGTATAACATAACTCTGACAGAGGGAGATGGAGGGGGCGAGGAAGAGTTCCTAGTTCCCATATGGCGCTGGGTCGAGAACGAAGCGTCGGTGGAGGTGAACGCTTTTGTGTGTGAGGTGGAATACTGGGTCTGGTACTCTTGACCTCGTAATGTGGAAGCGTCTCACGGCGCAAGTGTCTTGTCCCAGGTTTTCTCTCAGTGATGCCGTCCGCTGAAGGATAGCTTTCGAGGGAGGGGTTTGCGGGATAGATGGATGAGATATGGGATGTTACTTCGGTTTTATATTGTAAGCTGACGGCGGCGGGAGGGACTGGAAAAACTAATACGTTCATTTAGCTTAGCCCGATTCCTGGGAGGAGGCTACTTCTGAGTCGGTATCGGAGTCGTCCTCCATTACTATTCGTCGCATGACGCTTTTATCGAATAAGTCCAGAGCGAAGCGTCGGGCAGGAAGGCGGAAGTGATGGCTTTCGAGGATGCTGAGGGCTTTGCGGAATAGGTGTGGCTGGTGGAATCGTTCGGGTTGCTTTGACTTTATGCTATAGGAAGATAGCAGTGATTAGCGGGATTAGACTGGAGTAGATGACATGGCTTGAGAACTACGGGTTATGTACCTATGAAGATCCGCCGCTGCTCGCTTGGATAGGACGGTGTTACCCATGTCGACAATGAGCTTTATGATCTTTTGGTTGGTGGGATCTGAATCGGTGGCAGCTTCCTTGAACTTGTCTTGAGATATGCGTTTGGATTCTCGATTTCTTGAATGTGAAGGAAAGTCCACCTGACAAAGATTAGAGGTGTTAGCGTCTGCTTGTGGTATTCTTCGAATTGTTAATAGTGTAGAACATACCAGGAACAATTTATTGAAATCGGTGGGAAGACACAGTCCTAGAGAATTTCCCTTCTGATCGAAAGCAGAGTCCCAACCAAAATCCCTCAGTACCTTGAGACCATGTCGACTGCGGGAGATCAAACCAAGGACAAAGAACGCGGTTCCCCTCATCGTTAGAACCTCAGCACTTTCAGCGATCTTAACTATGCGCTCAACAATATCTGGTTCCAGGAAAGGGGCGCCTAATTCCATAGAGCCAACATTCCCAACAGCCCAAAGACAGCCTTTGACTTTGAGCAGAACCTCGGTGTCTTCCTCATCCAGACTAAAATCACGGATTGTCCAGGCGAATTCGCTAAAATGACCCGATTGCTCAAGAAGCTTGCAGCCCTCCGCGGTTCGGGCAAGCTCTCGGTAAAAATGCGGTGGGACCAGCCCGATGTCCTGCAGATCGACAAGGTCTTCCGGAACAAAACTGCCTCTTCGCGGCTGATCGACGTAGGCCCGTGATAGAGCGGCCTCCACAAGACCCACATACGCATCGTTCCGGCCCAGGAACCAGTCGTCCATTTCTTGTGTGATGTAGTCGAGTCCATCTAAATAGTGATAACCTACTGAGGTGGATAGAAAGCGCAAGAGCAAGGGTGCGCCGATCTCACCCAGGTGGTCTAGGGATGGCCTGCACTTGACCACAAACTCGAGATAGTCTCGATGGTTGCATGCTTCTTCGAGAATTTTTACGGCCATCTGGCATACAGACACGTCAGGATCGTACAATTGGGTGACAAGAAGCTTGACGACCCAGTCTGCATTGCCTATGGCCATCTGTGGCGAGAGCGGAACATTCCCCACCGCGTATTTCCGGAGCAGCTTGGTTGCGAATATACGAATGTCCTTTGAGCCGGTCGTAAGAGCCTTAGATAGCATAACTCTCAGGTGGCTGTCTTGGGTGTAATCCATATTGCCCAAAAGAGTCTGTATGAGATCGTCTCGATCCCGTAGCTCAATAATATGGTAAAACATGTTGAGCATGTGCCACCGCTCCATCATAGCGAGCCCGTTGGCATCGCCGGTTAATGTGCCCAGCAGGGCAAAATACCCTCCACTCAGTGTGTTAGCCATCTGCTCTCGCGAGAAGAGAGGAGATGAGGATGTAAGTCCGCTCATGCGATCTACTTGAGCAAGACATTCCGCAACCTGCCTAAGGAATTTGTTCTCAGCCAAATACTTTGTGCCCTCGGGAATCGAGACTAGGGTGCGCATCAGTGCGCAACCTGTTCGAACATAGCGTTGGTTTGGCTTAGTATTCGGAAGCATAGAAAACCTGTACTTGAAAGGCCGATAGAATCCCATGAGTCGCTTCATGAACTTGGATCCTTTAATCGCCTCATCTAGCCTCTTGGGGTTCGTCAGGGGTCCCTCGACGATGCGGTGGATAAGATCCCACTTCCACTTTAGGTAGTTCACTGTGTTCAAGACATGCGTTTCTAGAATCGCATTGCGAAATTGAGTTTCATCCATTGTAGGGCTCAGTTTGTCTTTACTTTGGTCACTAGATAGAAGAGAGGCGGAGATATCAACATCCACACTATATCGCCCAGCCCCATTCGAGAAACCAATCGAACGGGCTAAGGTTCTGTTTATGCTCTCGATCTGATAAATTGTGGCCATGGAAACATCATGGTTGTCAACATCAAACTTGATTGCGGCAGGCAATAAGTGCGGAAGGACCTGGAGTTTGGAGCTGATTTCCTGTGGCAGAGAGTGTTGGGCTAGCTTTAGAACTTCGGTTAAGAGCAATGTTGCTTTGCGTCTGAGAGACAAATCCTCTTCATCCTCGATGAGCTCAGAGAGCGCCTATGCCTGTTAGCAAAGCCGGCAATAATAGAGCCAATACAAAACAAAATAAAGAGGGGCGCGTACCTTAGACAACCCTGCATCCACTAAGGTCGCCAGGATGAGGGTAGAGAAGTGTGCTGTTAAGTCAAATCTACTCTCATTGTCGTCGTAGTACCCGCGGTATTGTTTTGTGTCTGTCTCTGAGCGAAGATTTGAGACTCTGCCGTAAGTTGTGAGCCGTCGACCCGCAAGGAAAGATGAAGACCATGAAGGTGGTTTAATTCTTAGGGCATCAAACAAAAGCTCCATGATCAGATCTCTGGCCTGCGAGTCGGGGTAGTGCAAAGATTCCAAGAGCGACTGTAAAGGCTTTCCACCGTTCCTTGCGAGGACTACTAAGCCCGGCCATGTCTTGAGCATTGCCGATATAGCTTTAGCGGATGACTTTAACCGGCCGTTGCGAACGCTGTCTGCTAGTGAATCGGTAAAGGGTGCAAGAACAGCTTCGAGCTCGGTCCCTCCCCGCAGGTGCTTCCTACTCTGTGGAGTGTCAAGTACATGCAGAAAGCTCGCTATTAAAGACTCGGAAGCTCCGAATGTCCCTTCTGCCAAGGCGTCATGCAATGTCGCAAAGCCACCAGCATAGGCAATAAGCTCTGGCTCTTTAACTAGAATTTCGGCGAGGGTCATAATCGAGATGTTTCTGAGGCGATCCTCGTAATGCTCAGCAACGGAGACAATAGTCCGCACCACAGCGCGCGAAATTTCACGCACACCATCCTTGACATCCAGAAAAGCCCTGACAAATTTCAAGGCTTGTTCACGCTCAATACTTGCTTTGCTCTCTTTGACAAGAGATAAGATTACTAGCTCGTCCGTGTGTAATGAACGGATAATCTGGAGGGATTTCCGATCCGCAATGGCATAGCGAGTCAACCTGTAACCAGCTGCCACGACTTCCTTGTTGTCACTTAGGAGCATGACCTGAACGCGCAAACCGAAGACAGACCACGCTAGGTCATACTTCAAAGTGGGATGTCGTTTGAAGAGTTCAACAAGGCTATTTGCACGTTCAACATAGTAGTCTGGTGACATGCCCTCAATCTCCAGTGCTTGTAACGTCTCTGCAAGTACATATGTCGGTGACTCCATTTCCGCCTCTCCATCCTCCGGCTGACCCTCATCCAACTCCACATTGCTGTGTGAGGGTGATCGCATGGAGCTACCTTGGAATAGAGACGATAGGCGACTTCGCGGAGGAGTGGACGGCGCCTGCGCACGTAGTAGTTCCTCCTCCAGTTCGTGATGGAGTTCGGCGAGCTTTCGATTTGACGAGCTCAACTCCGATTCCACCTTTAATCTCTGTTCCTTAGTTTGTTTTGGATTCTTGGCCAGCAATGCCTCGAGCATATTCTCCGTCCCTGTTTTAATTTTCATCTCCTTCGCAATCTTATTTCGGATCGCAGCCTGGCGTTCCTCGGTACTTGACAGGTCGTCGGGCTCGACGTTGCTGCTCCCTCTTCGCCTGAACGTAGCATCGGGCCGCGGTGTTGTGCTCCGTGATGTTTTCATGCTTTTCAGTTCAGAACTGAAGCTACCTGGCCCTCCAGACCCAGACGAGGGGGCCAACGACGGCGCTGCCCGAAAGCCGATGGTCGCACTACCTCCAGACTCCGATCGAGCATTTCTCCCTGACCTCGAAGCGGGCCCCGGCCAACTGCCATCCACAGAGCCATCATCAAGACTGGAGTATGATCGCCCATCTCCCACAGCACGATGCTGGGTCGACGTCGCCGAGAACGTTGAGTTATATCCGGACGCCATAGATCTCCATCTAGCCGTAACGGTATGCGTATCACCTGTCGCGAATGAGAATAGGGGCGGAGGGCTGCATTGAGTTTGCCGAGGGACGTTCGACTGCTACCGCGAGGACGAAAGATATCTTCGTGGATATAGATCGAGCGCGCTTTGTATCGGTCGGGCTAGACAGCGGGTCCGATTGGAAGGGAGGGGGAGAAGAGTACGCTGCGGTCGCGGAGAGCTGCTTCAGTCGGCGGTCAGAGGAGGGGGAAATCGGGACGTATCGAAGTATGAGAAGAGGGTCACATGCACCACGGGACAGCAGATCACAGTTTCAATTCAAGAAGCAAGTTCACGAGAGCCTCAATGGGAGATCTGAGCCCATCCCACTGTCGTTGGTTTCAGGTGGTCGTCGTCCGCTGACTAACCAGGCCCTATCAATGGCCTCAGGCTGCTATTAAATCATGCCGTATTATTTACATGCAATTTTTTTTTTCAAAGGACAATTGATTCTTAGAATCCTTTCTCTCTCATCCCATGTACATTCATATCTCATATTTGAATTTTTGTGAGGCATACCATTTCTCAAGCAATACAGACCGCGTGTTGTGTACGCCTTCATTCAAACCCCCGCAAGACACTCCTATATATATTACGTGAATAAGAACTTGTTGCACCTAAGGATGTCCAGCTCATCATTTCGGCAGAATATCAAGGCAAGCAGGTAACCAACAGAGAGAAGTATAGAAGGATCCTGAATCTATCAGGAGATAAACATATTTCCTAGTAATACCAAAGTCACCATAGCAACAAGGCCATCTTGCGTGATCATGAAAGTCAACACTTCTTAGAGATACTGCTAGGTTCAACAAATTTTGATCGCGCACTGTCAAACTTGTCACTGTCTTGCTCCAAACCGCTCCTTTTCTGGAAGAACCCAGTCTGAAACTCAGTGATAGCAGCTTGCGATCTCGTCTTCTCCCTACGCCACATGACCACAAAAACATACAAGATGCATACGCCTCCGCAGACCATGCCGTATATTATCGGTGGAATTGGTGGGATATCCTCCGTATGCTGATACGCGTAGTAAAACCCTAGTCCACCATTAACGATGCCAATGGCTGATAATAGGCGCCCAAACCAGCGGTGTAAGACACCGTAGATGGTGGCTCCTCCTGATCTTCGATAATGCAGATGCTGTACAGCTCCTAAGACTGGTTGGATAATAACGACAACGCCGACCAAAACATAACCTATAGTGGGGTGGTAGCCTTTGGACAGTTTAAGATCCATAGATACGGAGACTCCAAATCCAAGTCCAATCAATGCTACACACGCTGCAATAAGTTGCATGGGAGCATGCATCCACAGAACAGTGTGACGAGATGGGTATATGTGCAAGAGAAGCCCAAAGCCAGGGAACATCAACACAAAGGCGATTGGCGTCATCACGCCATGTGCAACACGTTTCCTGTAAAGCAAACCATCATCAATCACATGCTGTTTCGAGAAAGGGGTGACATCGTGATGCGGGTATGTCAAGTCGAGAAATGGATTCGATGAATTGCCGCCAATGGCTGCGCTCAAGTTCAGGGTGAAGCTACCGTGAACATCGTGCTTATGGATCCTCAAAGCAACATCCGAGGACACCAATGGATATCCATGGCACATAGCCCAACCCCAAGAGCTAGAGCTTCCCATTATGCTATCCCCATTATCTAGGTGCATACAGTTATCACAACGGATATTTGCTGTCATTACACCGTCATGGACTCCAGAACCCCCAAGAAGGTGAGCCTGTATATTGGGGTCATGGAAGACGTCAAGATGGCCAAATGCCTTGCGTGGGGAGAGTGTAACGCTGCCATCAGGCGAAGCGTAGATGAGAAAGATGCTCCCCCCTGCCATTCGCTCGCCCTGGCCGAGTGCTATCCATTTTGTATGAGACGGAGCGCTCAATCGAAGATAGATAGTACCGTTGATATTGGATGCTGTATTCTCAGGTACGTTAAATCCATATGATACCCCAGCTCCTGCAGAGGGCATGTAAGTGATGATACGGCCCCATGTTGAGGGAACTGGTAGAGATCAGTCAATACTCATATTGAGTCAACCGACGGCCTACCTAACATCAAGGCAAATGCCAGAAAGACAGACAAAGAATAAAGCATTGCCACTGCTAGCTCCGAAACTGAACGGGATCTCTCAAATGAAGTCGATGTATATACACATGAGGGAAATGCGATGAAAGAAAAATGCACAAACCTACGCTTTACAAAAGACATAAATAGCTCATTCATAGGATCTAAAAGCGCAGAATCAGTCGTGCGAGGGCACATGACAGAGAATTACTTCATCAGCGTTCACTTACTCCGATAATCTAATAATTAAGTGGAAACATGACTCGATAGTGATGCCCTAATCCGGTTTTTGGTACTCTGGGATTGGCTCCAAGTTGGTGGTGGGTATACACTGCTATAGCAGGGACATATTCAATACTAAGCTGACCCTGGCAACTTACTTCCCTGTGTAAATAAAGCCAGCCGTGAATTGAGAGGCTCTCAAGGCTAGAACCAACCCATTCTCACCTATGAAAAGCCAGGATTTGTGTGTCATTCACATCGAGTTGCTTGCTATAACCATCCCAGCTGCATATCAGATGACATGGCGAAAAAAAGAAAAAAAGAAAAAGCTGACTTTCATCGTGCTGCCTTAAGTGCAACCCCAAAATTTACATTGTGGCTCAACATTTGGTGGAGACTATTTTGACGACCTCAGGCTAGAGGACGACTACGAAAATAGGCGCGTGCCAGGACGGCAACAGTTATGTTACATTAGCATACACTGCTAGTGAGAGCTACCGCAGAACTAGAGAAGGCAGCCAAGCGGTCTCAGCCGTATACATATATTTCCAAGTTCACCAATGGAGGAAACAACAGTTGTCATTAACCGAACCGTCAAGGGGATATCTTCGAACGTTACCACGTGCCATTATGTGACTGGACACCGAACTGGCGGGAACACCATGAATGGACCACGTAGTCGTTGGCTTAAAAACTTATCAAGAACGCTCCATAGATGTGCAGGACATGGCTGGTATTCTTCCAGCATGATGCGCTCTTAGGCTTCCAAACCAAATGATTTATGTTAATCCGTACTAGTAACAATGTAACTATATCTATGTTGGAGTGGGTAGAGTCGACCGTTGCGCAATTTTTATTGGTTCGGAGAAATGAAATAAGGTAGCGGCCCGAGCCTCCATCAAACCCTAGTATATCGTCCAGTTCAGAAATGATAAAGGTAGAGAAGAGTTCCTTCTCAGCTGAGAGGTCACTCTGTGTGCCGTATAGAAATCTTACTTCGCTTTTGAGGGGCTAGGGCTAAAGAGGATCTAATCCTGGTTCATCAGTCTACCCCGCCCCTGTTGTACTCTATAGGACCATTTGGAAGGAATTATGCATAGCGCGCTGCAAGGACTGGGGTATTGGTTAAAATAGAACCTTTGGTAGAGTAGAGGATTTGTTTGGAAATGCCCAAACTAGAGCCTTTAGCGCACTGCAGTGCGATGGTAACATGTCTCTAGAGGCTATTGAACCATTCATGTGCGTCTAATTCACGCCACCTATGAGTATCCGCTGCTATATTATTATTTTTTTACTTCTTGCTCCCTTACACCTCTATCAGAGTACCCTGATGCTTATATAATTTTATTCTGCATGCTTCCAATTTTATGTCATTTTATTAGTGTCTGCTTCTGCCTTCCCTTCATATTTTGGGAAGAGGAGGAATGTACTGTACTCCGTAGATGACGTAAAATACATAATAGCTCATAGAGACATTGCTACCATTCACAGGGAAACAGTGACTGGGGAGTACGCCACCCTCGGGTGTGGGACAATTCCATTGATCTCATTTGATGAAGTGTTCATATGTGATGATGTTTGCTTCAATTTACTGCGCTGCAGGAATGTGCCCCAATGGTCCACCATTCGCTCCGAGTCATCATATGACAACTGCTCTATTAGAATTCTTGTTGAATATTCAAGAATACCTAGAGTTCAATCACACATATCAGAGTGCGGCTAAGAACAACCCCTGCAATCATACGTAAACCCCCCCTCCCCCCCTGCTAATCAAAGATGTTAACATTGAACCGCTAGCCTTGTACGGGTATATAAGAAACACCAGAGTTGGGTAAACATGATCAAAATCTCTGTTGACTCGTTACTCGGTCTATGTACAAAGAGCTCTTATTTATAATAGTAAGTGCGGCGTCATATATGCCGTTTCCCTTGAGCTGCCTTGGTTGCCAAAGTGCGATTCTATATTTTGTCAATAGACGAAAAGCTGGGTATACGTCGCTATTTATTTAGGGATTTACTTCAGCGATATCCGATTCGTAATCTCAGCCTGAGGTGATGCCATAAGCACATTCCTGGTTTTAGACCCGAGATACCTATAGAGTTACTCACAAATATTTCTTGAATTACCCTAGCTACCAAACCATCTACCAGGCCAGGGAGAACACAAGTAATTACATATTCTCTTGAATTGCACTAGCGCCATTTGGCTATAATAATCATTGAATTGATAGACTGGGCTAACATACACCGTCTTCAATAACAGAGTGTAACTTCATGGGTTATCACAACACACAACCTATGATTCCAAAAAAGTATATGCCCATTGTACAAATTTTGGCGAGGATATTACGTTATAAACACATGTATAAGGCTAGCAAGTATAACGTATATCGTATATTGAGCACAAAATTCCTTGCAACTACTTCCCTCCCGAAAAATAAATGGGGTATAATTTGCTATACCTCTATCGATTCCTAGCTTTGTCTATGTTCTATTGACGATAAAAACAGGTTGCCAATGATTATTGTAATTTCAGATAGTATACAGTGTCACCTCCCTGTGGAACGAATATTGAGACGAGTTCTTACTTCATACACCGCGGTTGTCGCGCAGTGCTTCTCACACCGACAAAAGCCCTAACAGCGGCATCATATGTCGAGAACTTTGAAGAGAGTTAAACCCGGTATCACCCATCTACCTGTACCCATTTACAAGGTTGCCAAGATCTGACTCTCTTCCAGCACCAATGGCAGGTGCTTCACCAGCGACTCTGATATCCTCCGGCGACAACTCAACACTAGACACTCGAGTCACGTTTGCATGTTGAGGTAACACGGCTTGTGTGTGAGATGCTCCATTGTATTACCACTTCTGTAGTTGTGTTGCTGGAATTGATTGCTTTGGTATCTTTTCTTCTAGCCCCGGAGATTGTGGATGTGCAAGGGTAGGATTTCCTGATGGCAGTCTTGATTCACTCGTCAAAGCACGTGAATTGGAGTTTTCGCGAGTGTTAGGCACACATTGTATGTTTAAAATGCATATTGGGCAACTTGATGTCTTGTTTTACCAGTAGTTTTAGGACATCAAGCTCAAGATGATGATGAAAACTCGTGACTAACGGCCTCGTGTCTATGGGGTATACGCTACCTGGTAAGAGAATTTGCAATACAAACTTTTGTTGGAAACTCGTAAAATTTTACTTAATTCCAGTATCATATAGATAGTTGTCAATAGTTGTAGCTTGACAAGCTCAGCAATATGTGTGAGCAGAGCACCGGAATTATGCCTTCATCCTAGGCCTAGAATGTTGATCTCGTGGTGATTCTCATTCGTCCCTTTCCCGCCCTTGGCTGCTGTTGTATCATAATAATTTTGTCGTTATCTTTCCTTCTTCAGGTTTAGTTGCTCTTCGTCTTCTCAAGGATAGTCTTCATCATTTCATTGCCCAGAGTGACGGCATCGGGGAAACGAGGAGCGAAGTATCCCTGGATACGCTCAAACCGATCGCGGTAGGATTCGAAATCGCCAAATGAAACACAATCTGACCATGCCTGTATTATTCGCAATCATGTCAGTGCTTTGTGAGGGAAAGCATGTATATTACATGATAGAAAAGATCGAGCATCGCGCCGTGGCGCAAAGGCGAATAAACGTCACTTACCCGAGCTGCAAATGTAAATTCCAAATCGTCAGAGCGGAATGTCTTATCATCAACGGCAGTATCCAATGCCTCCTCAAGCAGATCAGGATTACGGAAGAGGTACTCTGTGACTCCCAGCCAAAGACGGAAGAGCTACATAAGTATTGCAGCGGTCAGCGAATTATCCATGCATGCATTGAATGATATATATTGGTACTCACAGGCGTAGAGCAAATCATATGGTCATAAGGGACAATTCCAAGCTTTGACCAACAATCCACGATAGCGAGCAAACTAAGGTGACTGTTAGGAGGCGACGCCTCACGAGGTCCCTTTGAAAGCGAGAATCGGTCAAGAACCTCGTCTTTTAGCAACAGGTCTTGTCCCTCCGTGCCCGCTCTAAAGACAGATGCGCCTGCAGCCTTGACACGCTGCTTAAGCTCCTCTCGGCGACCCTCGATCATCAGTTTGTAAAGGTCCGTCACTGATTCAGCATACTGTCTGATCTGTTTCTTCGCGCTTGGATTGAGAATGGCCAAGCCAGCATAGACGTGCCATTTGTTGGAGTAGATGCGCAAGGTGATATTGATCTTCACGTTCTCGATTCCTCCTACCCAGCGAGATATCTCCCACGGAAACTGTTTATTCGCCTGCCATGCGGTGCCCATGCTCAGGAAAGCCGCATGTGTAACAGCTTGTGTATCTGCAGTGATTCGGTCGTGCATCTCGCCAGTGAGATAGACAAACTTGGATTCGAAGCATGACAAGACAGTTTCGACGAACCGAAGACTCTCGTCCGATGCGCGGTGCTGTATCAAGACCTGAACTAATACGTTATCATTGGTACAAGTCGGTCGCGATCTGCATGTCATACCAGTGGTTGAGCTTTCGGGTTGACGTTAGGACCATGGAGTGAATGGCAGGATACAATCTCTACATCTGAAGGGAGATGCTTGTCGAACGCGGCCAGCTCTGGAGCCTTGCAAGATGTCTGGCCACCGACAATCGCACCGACCTTGGTAGCTGTGTCAACAAGTCAGACACTGCTCGAACATAGGCAGTGGTAATTTGGCTAGACATACATGGGCCATATTCCGCGACTACCTTGTCGATCACTCCGGCCTCTACACTGTATATAATGAAGTCGCTTATTCTTGAAACCAGGTGCCCATTCGGGTAGATAGTGACACCTTTCTATATACGATGAGTCTAGGAACAGCATGAGCTGTGATCGACAGACGTACTTGAGAAGCAAATTCAGATTTCAGGCTCTCAAAACTATCAGGCTTGTCACATGCATTTATCCTTAAATAAATATTTTTGTTAGTAACTAAGGCGGGTCTATGAACTATAGAAGCGATATACTGCAATAACCTTGACATAACAAGTTAGCCCACGATCATGAAAGGTTCAACTTGTAACAGTGGATGAAAAATTTTCTGAATCAGACAAAAAGATATAGGTAGCTGAGATTTTACATCATTGACAGTCTAGCAGTACAACCATAGACCAGAATGGTGATATGGCGCACTACCAGACCATACTCGAGCCAAATGCACTCAAGTCATCATTCAAAACAGGAAGCGCGAAGATTGCTGGGAGAAAGAAAAAGAAAAGGCTGTTCTTACCTATTACGCGAGAACACAGTGCAGAACACTGACAAAGATCGATAAAAAAGCTGGGAGATATTACCTCCACCCTGCCATGCTCAGGCGCTGGGCATACATCTTGCCCATGTCACCCATGCCGATGATACCAATCATGGCATCTTCCTTAGTGAAACCCATCTTGAACTGGTAACACCAAGGTCAATTGTGCACTATGATATGGTAGACTCTGACTATCTTCCAGCCCGAGCAATTAACCTAACATCAATTCGTTGCACTGGTCGCTTCCCTTCTGAAACACAGGAGTGCGTGTGAAGAAAAAGAAATGAGAGCTGTCAGCAAGAAAGAAGAGAATTTAAGCGGAAATCCACCGCTCCGTCGGCCCGACTGTTGTCCGAGACTGCCCCACATCCTCTATTGACTGTCAAGTAAGGTGCTGAAAACGATTAGTGCCTGAGGCCTCGACTCGCTTGATCCCCGCCGAGATTTAACGTTCATCCAATCAGCGTCAACAAACGGACCGTAGGGCACACACCATCCATTTTCCGTATCCAAGTCAACTGAAGGATCCGTTTTCCTTCTTTCTCTTTTCCATATTCCATACCACAGTCCAGCACAACAACAATGGCCCCCAAGCAGAAGACCGCTGCCGCTAAGGAGAACGTCACTCTCGGCCCTCTTGCCGGAGATGGTATGTACAACTTCACAGCCTATAATATATGCGCATAATCTAATAGGAATGGGTTTGCAGGCAAGCTCGTTTTCGGCGTTGCTCGTATCTTCGCCTCCTTCAATGATACCTTCGTCCACGTCACCGATCTGAGGTTCGTCGCATTACTTTTCCTACGATTTTATTCCGTCCATACGAATTTTCCCGTGAAAGATTGATATGCCGGAGATTGAATATGAAATGCAAAAAGAGATAGCGGACTAACACTTCGGTTACAGTGGTCGCGAAACCATCTGCCGTGTTACCGGTGGTATGAAGGTCAAGGCTGACCGTGACGAGTCTTCTCCCTACGCCGCCATGTTGGCTGCTCAGGATGTTGCTGCCCGTTGCAAGGAGCTCGGTATCAACGCTCTCCACATCAAGATCCGTGCTACTGGTGGTATGTAGCGATATTAGATCCCGCGGAAAACGACCACCAGTTGGCTAACCCTTCATAGGTAACGGTACCAAGACCCCCGGTCCCGGTGCTCAGTCCGCCCTCCGTGCTCTTGCCCGTTCCGGCATGAGAATCGGCCGTATCGAGGACGTCACCCCCACTCCCTCCGACTCTACTCGTCGCAAGGGTGGTCGCCGTGGTCGCCGTCTCTAGATATGTGCGAGCGTATCTTCTCCAACTTGTGCAAGTTTCTTGCCTGGCTGGATGGGAGGCTATCAGCAGAGTACTCTGCCTGCGGATGTGGATGGAATAAACGCGAAGAACGGCCTTTATCGCCTGGTCTTCAATTTTTTTCATATCCAGAAAAGTTTCTACTCGGTTTTGGGCAATAGTAGTCTCTGAAATAGCAGCTACGTTTCGTCAATATACCTCGACTGGAACCGTTTACCTTGCTCTGTCCATTTGTAAAAACCTCGTAGTGACGTTTCATAGCTTGTTGACGCAACCTATGACCAATAATAGAAATCGCGACATAGCATTTGTACCCTTATTATGCCCCAGCACGGACATTTTATGTCCTTTGGGTAGTATAAAACGCCGGGAGAACCAAATATTTAGATAAGGACAGCTCCGGAAGCTTATCGATGATCGACGCCGAATTCTTTGAACTCCGCGGTGAAATCGCGGTGAAATTTGTTCAGTGTCTCGGCCCGTTAACTACAATCCTTAACAAATGATCTAACTCACTCCCTACGCGTGATAACTGGGGAAGAACTGCTTACTGAAAAAGCCTAGGGAGGACCACCCCAGTAGCTTGAGAAGAGCATATCACAGTGGCGACAGCTCCGTCACCGCATGTGGTACGAACAGCTCCAAGATTCAGTACAGCTATATATTGCCGATTCAGATCACTTCACTCTTCAAGTATTCGCAACAAATACACGCAGCTCCATTAATACTTAAGCTATGGCTTCCGTGACTCCCTCCCCCACCATCCTCGTACCCCACCTCCCACCGAAGACGTTGGTTGGCATCGACCTTATTACCTTTACATCAACGCCGAATTTCCATGGAATCCGCGATTTACCGACTGGATGGCATTTTCTCTACACAGGAGCAACAGAAAGTTTGTCGTTGAGAAGTGGCGGATGGTTTTACGTCGGCGATATCAGCGCAGCCGGATCCACGAACGAGGGTGCTCTGATCCCAGCTCTGCGAGGGAGCCTGGGACCCGATGTTATCGTATGGAAATGGAATACAGACACCGAGACGCTGGCTCCTCTACGTGTAAGCGATGATGCAGATAAGCAGGAGGCATTGCGCCACAAGGCGAACTTGGCTGCTGTTTGGCAAAGTGGAGGATTATTCCGCTTCCGCAGTCGCGTACCGCCCTCATCTGAGGGTCGGGCTCTGTTGCGGGATGTTGACGATGATGAGAATGAAGAGGAAGGTCGACAATATTGGGAGGGCCTTACGAACCGGCTGTCTCCCAGGCTTCTAAAGCGCATTATTGGGAACCCCGAGATAGATGTCGACGGTCGGCCTTGGTGGATGGTTACTTCAGCGAGTACAGCACAGAAGGATAACGAGAGTATACCCGGTATTCCTGAACCAGGCCAGGATTCTAATAGACTAGCGGATGTCATTGGGGAGCAAGAGAGCGAGTTTTCTTTCCTTCATATCGATCTTAAGAGGACCTGGAGGGAAGGTGCTATTGGACGGGAAAGGACAGAGGCTGCCCAGGACCGGTCGTGGGCGCTAGGGGATCTCATAGAGCAGGTTTCCAATGCAGATCAGGGAAAGAGCGAGATTGACGAGCAGCTTGGGGAGGCACAGATCCTGGGTGAATTACAATTTACCTTCTTGATGGTCTTGACATTGATGAATTTCTCGTGTCTCCAGCAGTGGAAGAGGCTGCTGGGTTTGATACTTACGTGTCAAAGAGCCATAAAAGAGAGAGAGCAGTTCATAAGTAACGTGCTACGATTACTCTTGATACAGCTTCGGCGATGCGATGATATTGAAGGAGGGTTCTTTGATCTCGACGGGGAAGAAGGAGGGGAGTTTTTACGAAAGCTGCTTATGAAATTTAGAACATCACTCTATGAGGTTATCGAGGATGCCGGGACTTTGGTGAAGGAAGATTTTAAGGAACTGGAAACTTGGGTGAAAACTGAATACGATTGGGAGCTCAATCATGGGGCTTTTGTACGGCGAGGCATGCTTCAGCTGGAGGATGGAGAACAGGTTGAAATGGACATGCCTGATGACGAAGACGATGAGATGGGAGAGTATGCCCCTGTTGTGGTAGATCTGGGCGAAGGCAACACCCTGTAGGCTGTGTAAAAATCTATTGGAATATGTTGATAAAAAAAGATTCTCTCAACATTGGCAAAGCTAAATTGAATCGAAGGCAAAGATAGAGAAAAAGAACGCTCAATTGAAATAAATCTATGATCTAAGCAAGGATCTTTGACCCCGTGACATGCAGGTCATTTATCATGTATGTACAATGCAACCAACCCCACCTCCACCTCTCATTATTGTATTCATCAGGTCCATCACAAGTTTAATTCTCCCTTATTTTTCGCTCTCTCCCTCAATGATGTAAGACCATTCGTCATTCTCCTTGCCTTCCTTACCGTACATGATGGCCTCCAACCAAGACTTGATCTGGGCTGCATATCCTCCACGAGCTGCACCAGCTTCCAGCATGTCCATATCGATGTCACCATTCCGGATAAGCTTAACTGGCGTAACGAAGAACTGCCCTATTGTTAACATATGTTTGCTAAGAATCCTTGGTGTAGTGTAACTTACGGCAGTGCCGCAGACGAAAGCTTCGATGATGCGGCCCTCCTTCCAAGCCTGTTCGACCTCGCTAATAGTGAAGTCCCGCTCAACAACCTCAACCGGGGCAAGGGAACCAACAGGCTTTGACAGCTCTGTGCGTGCCAATTGGAGGACACTACGGCGAGTAACACCGGGAAGAATCAACTGGTTTTCCAGGGGTGCGGTGACAAGCTCGATCTTTCCGGTTTCCTTGTTCTCCCAAACAATGAAGAAGTTACTAGCACCGGCCTCGGTTACCTGACGGTCCTGTCCAAACAACCAGAGAATCTGGTCAAAGCCAATGGCTTGAGCTTTACCGTGCGCAACCAACGAGGGACCGTAGTTCGCTCCGAGCTTTGCATAGCCGAAACCACCTGGCCAGGCACGGATAGTATCGGGTGTAGAGGCAAGAAGCTTCAATCCAGGTTTAGTGCCCTCTTCAGGCTTCTTCAACTTGGATGGGTCGGGCCATGGTACGGCGATGATGAATAGGAGGGCTTCCTTGGGAGTCTGGACACCCAGATGAGGGCCGTTACCAATCAATGTGGGACGGAGATAGAGGAAACGACCAGGTTGGTCCTTGGGGAGCCAACCTATAGGTAATTGAGTTAGCTGAGATAACAGTTACTAGCACGGGGTCACATACGGGGTCCATCAATCTGCATCAACTTAGCGATGAGAACCTTCAGCTCCTCATACCGGAAGCTAGGTAAAGAGGCTCTTTGAGCACTCATGAGCAATCTCTCCCCGTTGCAATCCGGCCGGAACAGGCGCAGTTTGCCATCATATCCTCTGTACACCTTCATACCCTCAAAGCATTCGGTGGCATAGTGCAAGCAAGACGCTGTGGGAGGAATGCTAAGATTCTCAAACGGCTTCACCTCAGGGGTTTCCCAGCCATCGGCCACGGTCCACCGGGCAGTGACCATATGGTCAGTACAGTACGAATGGCTCAATTCCTCGGGCGAGCCCGGTTCAGGAACCGGGCGGAGATTTGTCGACCGAGTGATCTTGACCACAGAGGCATCAAGCTCTGCCACAGGGTGTGCAACGGAACCCATGATGGATGTTTGTACGATCGAGTGTCTAGACTAAGACCTGAGGAATGAAGATCTGGCGTGGGTGAGGAGTTATAACCCGTGTGGTGTGTGAGTCACGGAACACTCGTGCGATGTCCTTGGCTGCGAGATCGGGGCAGGTCTCTGAAGTCCGCAGGTTATGGACAATGCGTGATACAAATACTGATTGAAACGGATATATACAGGAGAGAAGAATTCAATACCCTCCAGTGACTTCTCTTAGCTTCTTTTAAGGTTCAATGTCATAGGGCGTAAGAAAAGATTTTTTCCTTGGGCCCGACTCAATGTTCGGAACGTTGCCATCGATATCCGAGCTACCAGAGGACCTTTTTGCCCCCGAGAATGTCTGACAGGAATTGATTGCCATTAACTACTGGGTCCATACAACGAATTGTCGAATGAGACTGTCCTTTTGAGCGCACTTGGTCCCTCCCCGCTATCTTCTGTTCGCTTTTTTATGTGCAGAAAACGCTTTATTACCATATCAATGGCCCCACCGCCTTTGCCCCTCTATCACGAAGCCGATGATAACCGGAGGCGGTGAAAACCCGGATCGTTATCGGTCTGAATCTGTGTCCACCATGAATGATGTGCTTTTGAGTGAGGATGTACAAAGGTAGGGAGGTTGTAGAGAATGTCAAATCGGGAAGTGTAAAATGCTGACACCCAAGAAAGATGCACGGTCAGGCTTCTTCTGCAGGAGCGACATGGGCTGGACATCTAACGCCTTGGCATCATACCATACCGCGAATGGACCACGTAAATTGTGAGCTAGGTACTAATAGATTCCTGGGTGCATTTATGCCGCTCTAATTTAGTTCTAATCCCTCGGTCGCGCGGACCGCTGATACTAACTTAACTCATTATATAGTGTGAGTACCTGCGAAATCGACGCCGAAAATGACCGCCAGTGAGGCCGTTTACAGTGTCATTTCGGCACGGCATTTCAGCGACCTGTTGCTGCTTTAACGGTTCACACACGTGATCTGGCCACTACAATTCTGCACCCATCCCGTGCTGTTAAGCATATATACAGAGTACATTGTGCGGGCTAGGTGGCCTCGTAACCCCGTCCGATCATCCTTCCAAATAACATATGCTTTATTCTACAGGCGTAGCCTGTAATACATAACCTTCACAGGTTGCACTTCCCAAGCCTGAATCTGGTGTAAATATGTTCTAATGGCTGCATACCTCGACTTCAGTTGAAAATAGCGGCTTGGCAGTTGCGTACGAGCCACTGAAGCTCAAGGGGCTGAGCCGTGAGTTCCCCTGTGGCCTGTAGGTTGGTCGGCCTTATTAGGATAGCTGGCTAAGTTCCCTGGTAAGCCATCTCTACTTCTATGCTGTAATGGCCTCCTTCCAGGATCTGTGGGCAAAAGCCAGAGATATGTCTTCTGAACATGTCCCGGGGGGCTCATTGGCTGTTTGCTTTCCTGCTTGATCGTCTCTCTCGTTCCCTTCTACCGCTGTATGCCCAGGAACTACTAAATGGTGAGTTGGCGATCTTGGGCTTGTATACTCTCGGCTATAGCGTGTGCCTGGTTTTTGTTTTGCCAGTGCTTAGCCTAGCCCCGTCGATTACCGACTCTTAACTACGTGTTTACCATATTGACGACTGACGGTACTTCCCCTAACTTGCCTCGATATCGGACGATCCATTACTGTATTACTCTATAGGGCACTTGGCGAGCCCACACCTCGAGGTTTAGCTAACTATAAAAGCCTTAGGTACGATAGGAGAGGAACACAGTTTATGAAACAAGGTCCCAGATCCAGCTCCACAATACCATTCCCCGTAAAAGACAAAAGAAATAGAAAGGAAAATCATACACTATCACCATTTTGTTTAGATGCCTCTGGCATTTAATGCAGCACGGAGAGTCTTCTGGAAGTTGAAGACGTGCTCAGGTCCCAACATGGTGTAGTGAGCACCGCCGACCTCGTGGAAGCGGGGCTCGGAGCGGGTGAAGTCCACCCACTTACTCAGATGCTCGTTGCGCCATTGCTCCTTGGAGGAGGCAACGACTGCAAGCGGGATACAGTAGAAGACATCCATGCTGGCAATGGAGCCCGAGGGGTCATAATCGACGGCCATACTTTGCAGGGCAAATGCGAGAGTAGCCCATTTATTCAGTGCCTCGGGTGAAAGAGCAAGCTCGAACAGACGGTCCTGGTCGGCGTCTTCCATGACCTTAGCCATGGCCTGGTCTCGGGTTGCGCCTTGCAGCTCTGCGGCGAGCTCACGAGCATGTGCCTCGGTCATTAGGTCCAGGAAGTAGGACAGATGGAGGAGACACTCTTTCCAGTCGAGCTGACGCATACGGGTCTTGATGTGAGGGGGGAGGTTGAAGGAGCCCAGGAAGCTGACCTTGTCGCCGTTGCTCTCGAGGACCTTGCCAACCTCGAAGGCAAGCATGGATCCGTACGAGTAGCCGGCCAAGGCATATGGTCCTTCGGGCTGTTTCTGCTTGATAGCGGTGTGGTACGTGGAAACAACCTCAGAAATGGTCTGGAATGGCTGCTCGCTCTTGTTGAAGCCACGAGCCCGGAGAGCGTACACCTTACGGTCGACAATGAACTTGGCCAGGTTCAGGAAGACAAGCACTTCACCGACACCAGGGTGGATGAGCCATAGAGGAGTCTTGTGCCCCTGCGACTGGAGGGTCACGACGGGGTTGTACTTATGAGGAGCCTGGAGGTCGTACAGGGCCTCGGCGAGGTCATGCACGGTAGTGTTAGTCATGAGGGTGATCATGGGTATCTCCTGAGTGAGGTCGAGATGCTCCTCGATGTTCTTCTTCAGCTTGATCAGTTCGACCGAGGTGATTCCCATGTTGAAGACAGGGGTTTTGACGTCAAAGTCGTTCTCAGGCAGTCCGAGGCAGCGGATGAAAATGTCGAGAAGCTGCTGCTCCAACTCGTTCTGGGGGTTCTGGCGGGTGACAGCACGGTATTGCGAGATCGCCTCGTTGTTGATGTCCTCGTAAGAGCTGTACTCGCCCTTCTGGTAGGCAGACTTGATCTTATTACGCGGCAGCTTACCGAGGGCGGACTTCTGCAGCTGAGATTGGTCAAGAGGGAGGACCCGAGCCTTGGATCCAGTCGCCATCATGACGGACTTGGAAATGGCATCTACAGTCTCAACACGAGCGACGATGTCTTCAGGGGTGAAGCTGGGCAGGAAGGTGACGCAGACCTCCTCAGTCTCACATCCGGCGGGGAAGTAGGAGAAGCAGCAGTTGAAGCTGGGGGTCAGACCAGGGATCTTCGCTTCATCCAGGGCGGTTTCAATCTCGTGAGGATTGTATTTGACACCGTTGATAATCAGGGCCTCTTTGGCACGACCCTGCAGAGTGAGGTAGCCGGTCTCATCAATAGAGCCCTTGTCTCCAGTCTTGAACCAACCATCGCTGGAGAAGGACTCCTCGGTTGCAGTGGGGTTGTTGAAATAGCTCTTGAAGACGACAGGGCCGCTGATCTCGAGGTTGCCGACAACGCCAACCGGGACGGTCTCATTGTTGGACCCCTCGGTGATTCTCATCTTGATACCGGGCATACAAGCACCGACAGAGGTGAACTCCAAAGAGCGCTCCTTGTCGTATGTCGGGCACTTGGTGTTGAAAATGGAACCCGCGCATGTCTCAGTCATACCGAAACCAGGCACAATGACATGGGCGGGGGCACCATATTGGGACAGGAGCTGCGAAACGACATCACAGGTCTTGACCACGTTAGCCTCACCTCCAGAGGCGATGTACGTCAGGCAGCTGAGGTCCCAGTTGCGAGGGTTGTTCTGCGCCTCCAGACCGTGAAGGGCAGCACGGAGCTTGGCAAGGAAGAAGTTGGGGGCAAATGTACGAGAGACACGGTGCTTGTCGATGAGGTTGACGTATTGAAGAGGGTCAGCGAGGAAATCAGGGGCTTGGACGTGGATTTGGTCCTTGCGGGCAAAGAGAGCCTGAAGGTGGATCTCGACTATAGCAGCCACATGGTCGAGGCGGATCCAGTTCAGAAAGGAAGTGCCCTCTGGCAGTTCAATAACTGAGTATTTGCCAGTAATGGCTGTGAAAATCTGGTGGTGGGTGAGGCAGACAACCTTGGAGTTGCCGGAGCTGCCGGACGTCAACATCAGCAGGGCGATGTCGGTCGGCTTGGACTTGCGGTTTATGTTGTGGAGCTCATCGGACGTGGCCTTCTCGGCATTGAGAGACCCAATTGAAATGGGGTTAATGTGTTCTTGGTCGGCGAATTCGTGCAATAGTGTCGACGTGGTCAGACAGCTGGGGTTGATGAGGGCTTTGGAGAGATGTTCGAGGTGGTTCAGGCGAATGGCAGGGTTGTTCGACAGAGTAGTGGACATGCAAGGAATACAGCCAGCGAAAAGGGTAGCCCAGAACCAGACAATGGCATCCCAGTGAAGATCAAAATGAAGCAGAATGACAGATCCAGGACGGTATGTCTCACCCCGCGAGCGAAGAGCACAAGAGGCCTTCTGGGCAGCTTCAAGGACCTGTTTGTAGGAGTATACCTTGGGTTGGTCTAGGTTACCCTGGGAATATGTGATGACATTACCACTGCCCTCCTGGGCACTGGCTGCCTCCAAGAGTTGTTGAAGGTTTCCAATCGACATTGCGGGGCAGAAGGGGGAGGGAAAAGACAGAACGGGAGAAGATTGAAGAGGGAAAGGGGATGGAAGCCGTGGAAGCTGTGGAGGGAGTAGAAGGACATTGGGACATCTGGGTTTGTTTATATCCTTTACCAGACGAATGTGAATTCACGCTATCTACTCGGGCTCCGACAAGAGCTGAGGAGCTGACCATGGAGATAGGTCTTAAAAGTCACTATTCTGCGCTAGTAACAAACAAAACCGGTCTGGAACTGTTACTGTCAGTAAGTACTATTTTTCTATCCTATTTTCTGTGGCCATTCAGCATTATTTCAAAGCTATCCAAATCACCGTTATGGGAGATAATACATCAAATCCTGGTGCATAGACCATAGGGCAAGTAGTAATCCCAAGATCCTTTGGTTTAGGGAGCTGACCTTTAACCTCATCCCTTTATTATCTAGGTGTGTATGTGTGTCCTTTTTATTTTTTTTCAACCTACCTCCGTAGATTCATGGCAGAACTGAGCTACAGGCTGAAAAGTTTGTGAAGAATTGGCCCCACAACCTCAGCCGCTTGCTCGAGCGATTCCTGCTGGATCACAATCGATTCGCCAAGCCAGAGGTTCCCTAAGTGGTTTGTGATCAACAGGTCGACGACATGCAGGCAAACCCGTCCAATCATCCACTACGCCTCCTGTCTCTATCTTAAACTCAAGTGGGGTCATATCTTTCCGTTTCAGCTACAGCAAGAATATCTGAATTTGGACCAGGGATTTTCCCGATATGAGGGATATTCTCGCACACTATGGCTCGTGAATAATGAAGATCGTCTCCAGCTAATGCAAACATACATTCGCTACAGCAGCCACAGATTCTTCCTGTGTGATTGCGACAGTGGAGCGAAGCGAAGCAAGCAAGATAGATAAAGGACTGCATAAAAAGGGTCAGTGTTCCAATTAGTCCACTTTTCTAGACTGTTATGCATCAGGAATTGACGTGTCATATACGGTGAACTGTCACTTCTAGTTTATAGTTAGTTAATTCGTTCACGTGTGATCTAGGTAATCTCGGTAAAGCCATCAACTTTAAGCTATTCAAGATAGTTTAGGTGAGGCAGCTGCAATTACTGTATCTAAGAAATCTATGTTAAGTTCAGGCGGATACGAATCTAGGTAATATACCCAATTCAGGCGATGCGGGCAATTCTAGGTCATATTGCAGCTGCGCGCACAGTCAACTTGAGATGGCTGGCTGGTTAGCTTGGTTGATCTTCGAGTGGGCCCTGTCGATTAGATTGTCCATGAACATTGATTCGCTTACAGGTTCGATCGGCCAAGTATTAGTCTAATGAAGGAAATGATATACATGGGATCATCCATTTCGCAACCCTAGTCCTGTAAATAGCAAGGTGCATCCATGGTGCCAACCTTAGTATTTCCACAGAACATTCCTGTGCACATAAAACATTGTCGATCCACACGCATAACAATTCTATCGCAATAATTTTCTCTGTTGGACTCTTCTCTTCTCATCTTCGTTGCAGCCAGAATACAGGCATGGAGGGCAACAACAAGAAGGTTAGTATTTCAACATTCTCTTGGATAAAACACATCTCACAGATCTAGGTTATCATCATTGGTGCGGGCATTTGTGGTCTGGCAACTGCCATCCGTCTTCGAGATCATAACGGCCTCGAACCCGTCATCTATGAAATCCGCGGCCGCGACGCCGGCACTCTGGGAGGTTCTCTGGGTATTCCATGCAATGGACTCCTTCTCCTCAACCGTCTAGGTCTCTGGGACTCGATCTCCGCGCAAGGAGTCGATATTGCCAAAACCGTTATCCACTCTACCTCCGGTGGCATCCTCAAAGAAGTCGATGTCTCGACCGAACCCAAGGAGAAGACCGGATTCGGTTACCACCGCATCAACCGATCGAAGCTGATGGACTGTCTTATGGAAGGCGCGGAGAGATCTCAAATCCCCATCCACTGGGGAAAGCGGCTTGTCTCTATTCACGACAACGCAGACTCTATCACCGTCAACTTCTCCGATGGCACATCTGAAACTGCTTCCCTCCTCCTCGGCTGCGATGGTATCCACTCCACCGTGCGAACCCTTCACGTCGACCCGGGCTTCAAGCCAGAATACTCCGGCATCTCGGCCGTTTCCTCCATAGTCGACGTCCCGAATCCCAACGACAACGAACCATGTCTGCACTCGACTCTCACCCCCCAGGGAATGCTGGCTAGTGCACCCTGCCCCAACAACCAGACCTTCTGGTTCTTCAGCAAACAGGTTCCTCTCCCGTCGCAGGACTCGGAAGACGCCCGCTACGGATGGTCTCTCCACCGTCAAAAAGAAATGACGGAGTTCCGTGAATCCCTCTCGACAGTCCTGGACGGTGTGCACGGCGACTGGGGACAACATCTCCGCCGGCTTGTGAATGCCAGTAAGGACGTGCACTTTTACCCTCACTACCGTCTTCCCCTGGGGGGGAAGTGGTTCAAACCCGGTCCTACCAGGTGTTTACTTCTCGGGGACGCAGCACATGCCATGCAACCACACGCGGGGCAGGGGGTGTCAATCGTCATGGAAGACGTTTTCCTCATCTCTGGATTGCTGAAGAAATTTGAGAACAAGGAGTACGACTCCCTCGAGGCTGTCTTCACCAAGTTCGATGAAATTCGTCGCCCTCGGATAGATAAAATCTCCCTGACAGCACAGCGCAACGGTGCTAAGCGCAAGAATCAGAACCCCTGGGTCGTCTGGGCCAAGGAGTGGGTGGTTTGGGCTATGTCGTATGTGAGCAGTGTTTGGGGTATGTCTGCATCGGGTGTTGATCATGGAGATGTGATTTATGACGTTGAGGATGAATTGAAGAATTGTTAGATGTGGAGGCCTGTTAGGGTTTTCTTTTCTTTCTTTTATTTTTTTTTTTTTACACTCGTAGTTTCAGACGCGAGTAATCAAATCCTGGTCATATCCAAAATTTTATTACGAAGTTATCAAGACCAACACATTGTACATATCTCCATGAGATCGACAGCGCCAACACGACACTGGACGTGCGAGCTACGGGCAGACCTGGTAAAGGCCCATTGAATTCCTTGATTACAACACAAAATGTGACGGGATTTTGAGTGCAGTGTTTCCTTGTGGTAAGCCTTGTATGTACGTATTAGCATTCGATATCAATTTCTGGTTCCAACCCCAGAAAAGAGGGGGTGCATGTCAATGGAGGGGAAAAGATCCCCAAGTGATGACTCCATTTTACACCAGGATCATCACGTCGATTGCATCCTTCCGGCAAGGCATGCAGAGAGCTACTGCATTCTCCTTGCTGCAGGCTCTTCAAGAAGAACGTCCCGGTGCAGTGGGAGACAGAGTGGCGAAATGAAGCCAAACAGTGGCGTCTGCCGTACTGGGACTTTGCCAGATATGCCAATAAGCCAGAGGTGGAGGTACCTGAAGGCGCGGTTGGGGAACTCAGACTTCCCATAGTGCTTGTGAAGCCGAATGTCGAGATTTGTTCTATTTCAAAGGACAAACCAATTGTCGAGACCAAAACTGTGGCAAACCCGTTCTACAAATACACTGCGCCCAAGGTGATGGGTAAACTGGACCGTCCATATAAGATCCAGACGGAGACACGCACAAAAAAGGACGAAAACGGAAACTCAACATCATGGACCATTCCTGTAAGTTTTCAACTTGCGGCAATATCAACGATCTCTCTATCTAACATGGTCGAAGTGGGACAAATGCATCTCAACTACCAAGTATGGCCTTCTAGAGGGTTATCACGTTGACAAATTTGCAGATGAAGACGCCGGTAACCCCAAAGACAACGTGTGGTTTGTGGTGGTCGACAGTCTGGGGCAGGTAAGCTTATATCCAACTATCCAGCACCCCCAACTTAATGATAGATATCGTTACTGACTACTCGACAGCAAGTGAATCTCGAACAACTTGGCTCCCCGATTGAGGTGACGCTGCACCGTGCTGAGAAGGCAACCTTCTTGCATGAGGTCGATGATAACAGCTCGACAGACTATTAGAAGATAGGAGATGGCAAGCAAGTCGTCTATGGTGTGGCTACAACCTCTTTCAATTGAAGGTTTAGTTGATGAGCTTGTATGACATTATTAGTAGAATGTGTCATGTAGTTATCAACTGCCTGTATGCATCTGATGAAGTTAGATTGGCTTGCCGTAGTAGAAAAAATGAATTCTGATAAATTGACTTTTGGTTTAAGATTATGATCGCCAGGGTTTTCCAGTGAACATATCAATGTACGTGCGTACGTTGCATAACATCACATTGGAGAAACATGCTTATAGTTATAAACATACAACCCGAATCTAATGATTCTAAGACCAATTACCTAGTATGAACTTTTCAGAAGTGCCATATGTATTATACCAGTATTAGCAGTTGGCGTTGAGGTTCGCCGTCACAAATTAAATTACAATAATCCTCCAACAAGCATAGTGTACATTACCATCGCATAAACTTACAATTAATCCACCCTTTCCTCCTTGAGGAATACCAAGAAAGGCAAAACGGCCGCAGAAGAGACCAATGCAAATACTGAGACAATGTTAGAGCAGATTCTATTCAGAGAACGGGTGGACTTGCCTGGCAAAAACTGGAAAGCGTTCAGGTAGCTCGACCGGACAATCTGCTCTAAGGGCTCAGATAGCGACTCGGCGAATCTGAGATCGTTGAGGATGCCCTTTATGATCTACTTTAAGATTAGCATATCACTCATGAATTCGGAGGTAGAGACAAACATACCGTCTTCTTATCCGGGATATCCACAGTATGTTGGACAAGGTTGTTCTTGAAAAGTCTCTGGACTAGAGCAGCACCACAAGCAGGCCCGATAATCGTTCCCAGCTGCTGACAGAGATAAAATGTTCCGATGCAGACCGAAAGACATTCTTTTGGCGAGCTGTAACTCATGCCGATGAACAGGGTTGAGAAGAGAATGCCAGGTGCAAATCCGACAACAAATAGGAAGAAGGATTCCCAAATGTTGCAGCCATCGCGCCAGGTGAGGAAAATGAGAAGAAAAGACAAGACTGTTATACCGAGAGAAATAATACTCAGAGTCTTATATCGTCTCATCCTGTGAGTCGTAAGCGAACTAGCCAAGTTTGAAAGGTGATGTTTAGGACGCATACCGTTTAATGACATAGCCAGAGACAACTCCTCCTACTGACACGCCAGCGGCGACTTGCACGTACATCATCGAAGCAACGAAGTCACTCTTTCCTTCGACACGAGTGAAATAGGGGACAACGTTGCTGACGAACTGGATCACAGTCAGTAACGTAGATGGCAAGGTCTGAGTAAGAATTCATACGGCAGTACGACCGGAGAACAACAGGCACTGCATAAGGCAGTAGGCTCCCAGCTCCCGGATCAATAAATGCATCGGGATCAATGGTCTCGTTGCGTAGAAAACTTCGGTCAGGACAAAGATCATGGAAGAAACGACAAAGGCAGCAATCAGACCCCATGTTGGCACCAGCTGATCGTCTTCTTTCGTTCCGAAAGTTTGAAGCACGCAGAGTAAGATAATGATCGTAGCAGAAAGCGTGATGATTCCGGCAAAGTCGATTTCCCGAAGACGCGATCGGCGAGGTTTGCCTGAAGGCTGTTTATCTTTGTCTTCCGTGTGGTTGAGAGAAGCGGGCAGTCCGTACACGGCGACGAGGGTGCAGAAGATGATCAGGGGGATTTGACCCAAGAAGGACCTACAACGGTCAGCATCCATGTTCGTTGCTGCGCAGTACATGTCTTACCATCTCCAGCCGATAGTGTCCGAGAGCAAACCACCGAGGGGCGCTCCAACACTGCGGCCGATGACATTGATCACATTTTCATAACTTCGGTAGACTGCGACTTCACTGGGAGGGACCAAATCTGTATCATGTTAGCGGAAACAATGATGCAGACATTGATGAGAGCGTACCCATGATGATGATAGAAACGAGCGTCACCATTCCAGCACCGCTCAGGCCAGCGAGGACTCTGGCCAGAACAAGCTGTGCCAAGGAGGCACTTGCACCGCTGCATCAGACTGTTAGATTCCGATTCAACTATCTAGGGCATGATGAAGATCATCTTACCAGGCAAAACATCCCAGTGTGAATAAGATATACGAGACGAGCAGAACATTTTTGCGCCCGTACGAATCACTCAACGCACCGTACTATCCGCTGTCAACACCTCTGATCCTGCACCAAAGAGTATATCAACATACCACTGGCAGCGAAATACAGTATCCAAAGTTATACGCAACGAGCAACCAGGAACCTTGGGAAAGGAGATGGAACTGCGACGCGATGGTACTGAAGGTGGACAGAACGAGGGATTCATCAATACTGGCAATGAAGACACCTATTGACATTAATAATTGCTGATACATCCCCATGATTCAGTGGGGAATACCAAAGAATGTCGCATAGATGATAAAGTAATCAGATTGTTTTGTCTTAACTGGTGGATCCGGGAACTGGAGGAGAGGCGATTCTTCATCTGGTGGCATGTCCGGGTTACGCTTGGTGGGAGACATATTGGATAGTGTTCACTGTCGAGATGAATAAATTCCCTTAACCATCAACATCAGAAACATGACGGCTAGTCAAAGGGGAGGAGAGAGAAGAGTCGTCGATATGACGATGTAAGTAAGGGTGAAAAGGCAAACTAGCTGAGCCCGACAGAATCACTCACTCAGCCAATCAATCTCAAATCGCCGCCCCCAATCAGTTCCATTGAGCTGGGTCGATGTATGCATCTGTGCCCAGAGCCGAACAGCTAGGCAGGTAGTGTGTCAATCCGATGCGAACCAGGAAGGCAGATCGTCGCTCTTTTCTGTCGCTCAATGGATCCACTCTTCTCAGCCCATGCATGCTCAGCCGCAGGAAATACAAATTGATTAACTGCGTTGTGACTGGATGATCCCTTCTGCTGGGATCCTCTCGGAGAAAGCCCCGTCGTGTATTCCATCCAGAGAGCATATTATCAACATGGCAGAAATTTTCTGGAGAAATGCCAATATCAAGATGTCATTTACATATAGAGCACATGGGCAACCCCCTGAAGCAGCAAAATGGAGAGCTCTTCACATTCCCACAGAGTCTGGGGAACAGATTCTGTGCTGTGGACGAACACTGATCAGCAAAGATTCACCCATCCGGGCAGACCTTCATTGGCGTTGCTTTCCGCACATTGCGCACTAACCTTTTCATTTAGTCGAGAAGAAAACCCAGCCAGATGGTCGACCCAATAAGATTCTGATTGGCGCTGACAGCTCTACTAGCTTGCTTAATTTGGGTGCTATCGGGATCGGCGTGTGTGGCACTATTGTCACGATGCGTGCACGCACTGGAATAGCGTGGCAATATAAGAAGCTGCGTGTGCATCCATGGCTGGGAACGCACCTCGTCAATCACCACTTGTGATTTTGTTTTGACCTTCTGAATACAGACACATTCTTTAAACAAACTAAACGCAGTCAATATAATCATAAAGTCAATTCAATTATAGCAAGGGGAAATGGCAAACCAGAGAATCCCGCAGTTAGGGTGGGTCGGTAGGTCTTCAGCAGAATGAGCTGAACTTCACCGTACTGATGATGATTAGGACTTGGAAAGATGGGAAATGCCATGGCGAAAAATATGCAAAGGCATCTGGCAGAAACGGGACAAAACCCCCTGCATTTCTGGAACCGAACCGCTTCCAGAGGAGAGCAATTGAAGGGACTTGGGGGAGTTGAGTGCGAGTCAATTGCAGCTGTTGTAAACAGCAGCGATATAATATTCATCTCTGTAGGCTTAAAAACAGTTTTATACTTGTCTGATATACTAACAGAACTAGACAAGTGATGATACTGCTCTTAAAATCATCGTCGACGAGATCCTGGCCGCAGGAAACATTGACCTTAAGATCATTGTGGACACAACAACTGTGCATCCAACCACCAGCCAAGAGGTCTCAGGGAAGGTAGCACAGAAAAATGCTACTTTTATTTCAGGTATGTCCACTCTCATAAGAATCTGGTAACAGGGAAAAGAGACTTATATCGACAGCTCCCGTGTTCGGCTCCAGCCCTATGGCCGAGGACAGAAAGATTTTGATAGTACTAGCTGGTGACCTCTCTGGCATCAAGGAACTGGCACCATATCTCAAAGGCGTGATAGCTCGTGAGACCATCACAGTGTCTGACAAGTCAGAAAAGGCTGCACTCCTGAAGATCATGGGGTAAGCACTTTTACCAGAAGATATTTGAAACTAGAAGCTGACCGAATCCAGCAACTTCATCATCTCCGGATTCACCGAGATTATTGGAGAAGCCCACGTTCTGGCGGAGAAGAGCGATATGGGCAATGAAGCTCTTGAGAATCTACTTGAGCTCCAATTTGGGCCCTTGCCTGGCATGATCTCTAAGCGGTTGACTCAAGGTAATTATATACCGCCGAGAGGTATGTCTATCCAATGAGTAAAGATATACTACAACCAAAGCTGACAATGCTAGGCGAAAATCCCTGGTCCGACCTCAGCCTTGGTCTGAAAGACGTGGGACACAGCATCGACTGTGCAGACAGTGCCGGGACGAGATTAAAGGTCGCTGAGGTCGCGCTGGACCATCTTAAACGTGCCAATACTTATTCCGAGCAGGAGGGTAGGCCCTTGGACTCGTCGGCCATGTATGGCATCATTAGGCAGGATGCAGGATTGGACTTCAAGAATGACTTTGTTAAGAGAAGAGATGCGCAGTAGATGCATCTGTGCTTTGAGATATGATTGGAAAAGGGAAGCATTCATCTTCATTCATGTCAGCTACCTGACCAAATTCAGAGACTTATTGGGCTGAGAAAATGAGTACGACAACGTTGGCTAGCTTTGCAGTTCTCCTCTGTTCTTCTTCTGTGTGTGGTGAAGAGCTAAGATTAAATCGATGAGTTGCCAACAGGCTTACCGGTACTTTTATTTAATGGATCAAATATAGTAGGGTATCTGACGCATATATATATATCAAGCTCAGAAACACCTAAAGAACCCATACAATGTGCCATAAACAAATAGATAACCCACTCAAGCATTGGCTTAGTATACTGTATGGAAAATGATTTGTGAACAAGAACTTGGTGACATTCTCCAAGAATTCACATCAAGATTCGAGTCAAGATATCGAAATATCTCCGGGTGGTCGCTCAGTAACTCCGACACCCGAGTAACCGGTGCCTGATCGACCAATAACGTCATGCGGAACCATATGACTAAAGGCTGATCGATAATCAAATCCGCAAGAAACTCATTCACGTAGCATTTGATTTCTATAGACTCAACCTTGCCCTCTGAAAACCTTGGGCCCTGAAAATGTCTCGCTCGATGCTATCGTCTGCTGCTCGCCAGCTATGGCGGCAGCGCTCCCCTCGCACAGGAGTTCCTGCCTTCCCATCAGCAAAACCTCGTTCGAGCATCTCCGCATCGTTGAGCGATTCTATCCCCCGCCGGTTGATATCCTACGCCATCTGCGAGTCGAAGGCAAACAGAATCATTTCCCCACGGAGGTCCCTCCCCGCATTCGTGCGTCTCCAACAGCGTTGCGCTTTTTCGTCCACATCCATCAGACCCGCCACCAAGGTCTTACAGAACCCGAGAACCGGCGAAGATGGCAATCCACTGACGATTGAAATCTCGCCCCGCGCTGCAGAAGTACGTTCATATCGTTGTTCATCCGTTACATCTTGTGTTACTTTTAAGTGTGGCGTGACTCGGTACAAGAAGGTTGTGCTGGACGGGAGTAGCTCCTGGTCATGACAATTGATCCTGGAGTTTTGCGACTGGGTGTACTCAGTGTTTTGGCGCTAAAACTCCTAATCTTACATTTGATAAGCACATACGACCATAGGGTGTGGAAAACAGGGCTTCCCGTCCGCTCAGCCGTACTTAAGCCACACGCCGGGAGGTTAGTAGTTGGGTGGGTGACCACCAGCGAATCCCTCCTGTTGTATGTTTTTTTTCCCCCTTGGTTTTTTTTTTTTTTTCATCTCTCTCTCCTTTTCCTTTGGCATTTTGAATTGTCCATGAGGATTGTTCATAATAGTGTATATGGGTACTAATTGATTTCCCCAGCGTCTACGCGAAGTCACCGATCCAACATCGTCTCCATCTGTCCTCA